TGTTCAGCGCCGCTTCAGTAATTTCCGATGGTCTTATGCCAGCGTCAGCATTTGCCAGTGCTGTTGATGGGGTGAGCTTCCTGAGCGGGAACCAAGAAGCCTTTGGATTGTACGAGTCCACAATCAACACACTTGGTCTGAACGCTTGTGAAGGGCATGAAGATCTTCAAGTTCACCGCTTTTCCTTGGTCAAAACGATGGTTTATAAGGAATGTTCTGGTATGCTGTACCGTGAGTACGCCAAAAGACTCCAGCTTGTTGGTGGGGAACCGCTCATCTTAGACAGAAGAGCAGGCACATGGCCTAGAGCAAGGAAACGGGTCCAGTATCAGTATTCATGCTCAGAGTGGAGCAAGGGAGTCATGTGTTGGTACCGCTTCTTGCCCTTACCTAGCGGAGCTCGTTCAGAGAAGTCGAAACGCAGCGTAGATCTATGGGAACTAGGCAGGTCGATACCATGGCCGTTTGATTAGACTGAGTGCGTTGTTGCACTGCTTCAACCTGTTAGATTGTATCAATGCATCTGGTAGACACTCACATGTTGCAAACAACACAATGGCACGAGCGTCTCTCAAAGGCGCCTTCTTCCTTCCTTCATGCTTTCCTGATTATGATATCGATCATGTTCCTCCTGCTCAAGTCTATAGTCTCACTTCACTCTACAGACTGAGCCTAGTCAGCTTTCCTTGCACAGTCAGCTTTCCTAGCACAGTCAGCTTTCCTTGCACAGTCAACTTATCCTGATCAAATCTTAGCCGTTCCCTCAAGTGCATCGTGACCGTCGATTCACTAACCATAGAGTAATTCGATTGACCGAATTCCTAACCGAATTCTAACACAACCGTGGTCGACGACTACCAGTGAGGACTCCAAATGCGACGTCGGGCTATCTAGGACAATCATCATACTGATACAATCACATCCAACATGTCCGGATCTGCAGCTCAGTAGCGCTATTCAAGTCAGTGTGTCTATATTTTCCTGTTAAGATCAACCCTTTCTGCGAGGCGAATGCAATATAGACACCACTGTGAAGACACCACGTGACTCATATATGGGCAGCTTTGGTCACCTTTTCAATGGGTACGTGGCAAATCTGATCGTATATAATTGGCCGCAGGCTGCATTCTGGCATTGCATAGATGACGGTGCCATGAGAATGCCGACCATGTTGTGATTCTCTTGCACGCGGGCCCATGCTAGTGCGGCCGGCCGCTCTAGGCACGACCCCGTACTCGTGATTACCCCTTGTCCGCGAGCCGCGCAAATGTTCTTTATACAAGTCTGACTTTATCTTCTTGACACCAGATGATTTTGCCTTTCGAATCTGGGCGGCCCTGTAAGCTTGCAACCATAATTCGGCGGCGGGCTCCGATCGACCATGCATGCAAGATTGGCCCGGAATTCCATCATTTGCTCCACACTGCTCATTGAAGGTGGTTGCTGATTGTCACGCAGATTGCGAACTCAATCGACACTGCATGCGGTGGTCCTTGCCAGACATGGAAGACGAACTGGCCAACTCTCCTGAACCCATTTGCACCACACTGAGTTGGTATCCTTCTCAATTCAGGATCGATAAGGATTGCCTAATTGGTTGCATGCCAATATGAATCAAACTGCACACACGTGTCCTTGATTCCTGCGCTTTGCACTCTGCCTAAGCTAGCCTAGCTACCAATGAAAGGCAGCGTTGCTAATTTCATTGCCTGCACGTGGCCCCATGCCAATAACACTGCAACGGCAACAGCTACCAGCACGATGGCGACGGGGTTCGCTTGCCCGGCCACGGCTTCGCCTTTTTTTCTATCGCTAACACTCGGTTCCGATGCCTCGTCGCTTTGCGCTCTACTACTGCTACTCTCGAAAACCCTGTTCTCTCTATCTGTATTCAACTCAGTCCGTTCGAGCACCGCTGTGCGGCCCGATCCAAATTCTTCCCGCCCCCGGTCTGAACGGGCCCTTCCATCATTCGTCCTTCCTCGCAACCCCGCTTTCCCGTTACTGTGATTTTCACCGGACGTCGACCCCACGCCCCACCCCCCTCGATGCTCCGCGTGGTGGCCGTTCCCTGTATCGAAGAACTTGACGAACTTCCCGTTTTCCAGAACCCCTACTTTCCCTCGCCCGCTGACGCTCGCTCCGTTTCCGTTTTCGTTTCCGTTTTCACTTTCCCGCCCCCACCGCTCCAAGAAGTCGCGTGTGCCCTTCCACCGCGTCTCCTGCTTCTTCGCGCGGATCGCCGCCGCACCGTTTTCGTACCCCCCCTTTTCGACAAACTCGCGCACCTCCGCGCTCCACCTCGTTGGCCGTCCCTTCTCGTCCACCGTCTCCCCCGCGCCGTTCTCGAAAAACTCGTCGAACCGCTCCCTGACGTCACTCCCCGTCGGGATGACGTCGGTCGTCCCGTCCTCCTTCACGGTCCCAATCCCGCCACCCAACACCTTCGGACGCCCGTTCCCGTCCGAACCGCTCTCGCCTTCCCCCCGGTGTTTTTCGCCCCAAAATTGAACCCCCAGTCCGATACCGCCCATGATCTTTTCGGACACTTCCGTCCAGATGGCGCCGTCCGAATCTTCGCCGTCCGCTTTCTCCCCCAGCGCTCTAACCACCACCTTCTTCTTCCGGTGCCCTTTAGCGGAGCCCTCTTCGTCCCGGTCCGCCAGCTCCCTAACCTTGGACACAACCTCGTTAACCAAAAACGCCCACCCCTTCTCGCCGGAAGCAGCCCAACCGCCCCCATCTGCCCCACTTTCAGAACCCGGCTCCTCGCCAGCCTCTGACAAGTCACCAGCCGCGTGCCGGTTCTTGAAATTTGGATCCGTCGCGCCGTTCTCCACGTGAGACCGCTTTTTGGCCTTGCTGGGCGGTGGACCCGAAGACGATGCCTCCTCGGTTTGGAACCGGGTTACCTCAGCGACCGCGCGGCCGTTTTCGAGTCCCGTTTCGTCGCTGGTCGCCACCTCGGCGAACCCGGCGCTCTTCCCCTGCTTCAGCTGCGAGGAGAAAAACATGCAAAGCGTCAGGACTGATGACGAGCAGCTCAGAATTTCAATCTCATTTCGTCAATGACAATCCGACACGTGTTGAGCCGCTTGAATGCGTACACCCAAAAGCTGATTTTGCACAGCAGAACCCATATGAGATACCACCAGAAATACCGAAGAAGTACTAAAAGCGAAAGGGGTTTTCCTTTCCTTGTAGTCTGGCTCCGGCAGTGAACCCGCTGATCAAGATTGCCTTGACCCCGAGACAGAAGTCAAAAGGTTTACCCGCAATCAGTTTGGGAATGCACCATTTCAAACACGGGTAAGCAGCTTCAGTCCATTCCAGCAATTTTCACAACACCCAAATGCCTGCCATGTGGATGCAGAAAGGTAACCAGGAAGGAAGTTGGGCGCACATTTGGCTTGGGAACACTCGTTCACAGGCTGCAGAGCCGCGAGACGCCGGAGAACGAAGGGGCGATTTGACCATGAGCTGGAAATCTGCCTGAAACAGTTGGCTTTGCCCACCACTAAACCCCACTTTACACATCTCCAGCCAGAATCCGGCGCCAGGGTCATAATTACTGGCTGGCTGGTGCTGATGTAAGGGTGCGCGTCGACCGAAAACCTACTTGGCCTCCAGTCTTGCCTTTGTAGTACCGCCAAGGAGGAGGTCCGTACTTCTCAGGCCGAACTGTTGATTCGGTATGTACCTTTCTAACCACGTGGATCTGTTGGACTGTTTAATTGGCTTAAGAATCTGGAAAGCTTTTTGCAGCTTTCCGGTCGATGCGAACCCTAATGTCAAACTGAAGCTTGCAACACTAGTCGGTTTGAGTGCAAGCATGACTGGCGGTTCTTTAGAAAGAGCACGAATTAGTCCGACTAGACCCGAGGAAGTGATTGACTACCGACCCCTCACCTGGCTCTCGGCATCGTCTGCCGCCGCGGCTGCCGCTCCCATCGCGGCATCCTCCGTCTCGCCCTCCGAGTAAATCTTGATCGTTTGATGAGAGCCGTCCGATGGGTCGGTCCCGAACTCCGAGTCGTCATCCACGAACGACTTGTACGTCAGCAAAAGGCGCACCGAACCGGCCACGCGCCGCACGCCAAAGGGCCCCTCGCGCTTCAGGGGGACCCAGACGTCGGTGGGCACGCAGTCTTTCAGCTTCCAGATGGGCACCTGCATGAGAATGACGATACACATATGAGTATGTTACTGTGACATATGGAATTGGTACGTTACTGTGTCATGAGAAAATGGTGGCACGGTCATATTGCTCGCCAAAGAATTTATCCATGGGGGACATAGACACAAAATGCTGCACAGTCGTTTTGATTTCCAGTGGGCATCTGATCCACCAGCGTTGCGGAAAATTAAGCTTCGTTGTCTCCCTACTTTTGGGGCTTTGAATTTTGCACGTGACAAAAACTGTTCATCTTCAGGGGAGTTCCCACGCAAGAAATGGCCCTCAGCCATTCCCGCCAGTGGGCACGCATGCCTTGAGCTAGGTACATGAACAACGTGGAGGACGAAACATTCCAAGCCTTTTGCATGTTTCCTCCTTTCGGGCTTCGAAATACCCATCTATGGTCCAAATTCCAACAATCTGCAAGACCAGAATCTTCCAGAAGCACTAGTAACTAGGATGAAAGGATGTCAAGCTGCGTGAAGGAGGCTACACGCGGGCTACTAAGTACTACAAGTAGCAGAGCTGTACAACAGAAACCTAGTGGGATCGATCTCGCCCTTGAAAGCAAAAAAGTTCTGACAGAGTATCTAATCGCCAGTCTCACCTCGCAGACGCCAATGTTGGGGCTGAACGTGAGGTGGCTGTCCCGCACATACACCTTCACGTGCTGCCGACTGGGGTTCGAGACCAGGAACTGGAAGTCCTGCGAGAGGAAGATAGGAAGGTTTGAATCTTGAACGTGACTCTACCTTACTCTATACATCAAGAAATCCGTTGCCGACTCAGATCCGTTGCCAACTACTGATTAGGCACTAGGGGCTGATCACAACGGCCTCGGGAGAGCGGACATGTTCAAACCCCGAAAAGCCAAAGGTCCAATCCTACATACACGTTTCGTAAGTCGTTTCAGAGAAGGAATCAAGGATCAACAACCTTGCTTCCAAAACCGGGTGCTCGTACACCAGTAAGATGCAAAGACTCGCTTTTGTCGACGTCGGGATCCCTCAGATTCCTAACTTGCCCACTAACCTGGTTCCAAACCGGGTTCTTGTGGCCAGACGGGTGCGACGTCTCGCTGTTCTTCTTGCTCTCCACCCATTGCTCCCCAATCGCGAGCGTGCAATACGGGTTGCTCCAACCGATCAGCCCCCCGATCGGCAAATTCTGCGCCTCGCAGAGGGTTACCGTTAACTCGCCCTTAAACCCTTCGGTTGTCGCGATCTTTGGCGGGGAAGCAGTGGTACCGGGGCCGATCCGGACGGCCTCTACGATGTGAGAGGCGAAGCTATGCTCCTGGGGGATGATGTCGAAGTTTATACGCCGGGGGAGGACGTATAGGTTGGGGAGGTCGATGGTCAGCAGCTTGGTCAGGAATCTGCAGCGAAACGGTGGTGACTGTTGGTGTGAGGTTCCACAGCACCACTGCAAAATCCGAAGCTTTAAGCGACAAGGGGCGAATGACGAGTGCAAAGGAGGATGGTCCGATAGGTTGACTATAAGAGTCGTGACAGTGTAACTTGTCAAGTAACGCGTACTTTAAGATTGGCGGGAGCGGCGGGCAGCTTCGAAAGCCACAACTACTGCACTCGTATTGCCAGGTTGGCAAATTCATTAAGCGGGAGAGTTCAAAATCTGAGCGGATATGTGATTGAATAACCAGCCGAGCCAGCACTCTAAACGCAACCAAAATTAACAGCGAGCGACCGATCAGTTGAGAGGGTTGATCCGCCACCAGTTGAAGATTACTCCAGACATTCAAGCGCATGACCATCGGTAGTGACCCAGAAGGCACTTGCGTCACGACCCTTTCGACCAGGCGTTAAATTCAGAGTTCGAACGAAGCCCAGGGGATAAGCCCGTAACCGTCGTACCTAACCAGAGCAAAAGGGAATCGCAAATAGATTGACGTGGCAAAACAATTAAAGCTGCGCTAAGCAAAGCACAGAGGTCAAGCGGAAAACCATGGCCACTAACCTGGATAGGAACGGGATTGCGAACAGATTGACCAGTCGGAACGGCGCCAGCACCAGCTTGATCGTCGGGAGGCGCACAAACGCGAGCGACACCGTCCCAACGTACGGCGCAATCGGCGCTAACCGGATCTTAACCCACAGTTCCGCGTCCACGTCGAGGTCGTAGACTCCCACCGGAATGTTGGTTCCGAACGCGCTGGCTTTGAGGTGGAGGTTAAGGAGGCAGCGTGCGTCGCCCGTGTAACGGAGACCAATATGGTACCTGGGGAAAGGTTAGATCTGGGGTTATTTCTGAGGTTCAGAGCCTGGTTAGAGTGCGGCTTTAGAAAGCGCTGGCTTTGAGGTGGAGGTTAAGGAGGCAGCTCGCGTGTAGCGCAGACCAATATGGTACCTGGGGGAAGGTTAGTTTTGGGGTTATGTTCGAAATTTAGAGCGTGGTCAGAGTGTGGCTTCGAAAGTCCTGAGTAGTTGAGGTGGATAAGAAGACAGCGGGCATCGCCAGTGTAACGGAGACCAATATGGTACCTGGGAATCAGAAATCACAGTAAAGTGGAGGTTAGCGGGGTTTACGTAACCTTTGAACATCAACGTGCAACAATCTGAGTATGCTTAGTCCATGTCGCAAATGCGATTGGTCAATATTGGGAGCCGAGCGAAAAAGAGACCGCGAGACTCACTGCAGATCGTTTGCGCGCCTCGACGTGATGCGTTGGACGTTGCGAAAGGCCAGCGGTTCGTAGTCGAGGTTGAGTTCTGCCACCTCGATCCGGTCAATCAGATCTGGCTTTGCCAGCTTGTCAATCGCCGGTTGCAGGATGTCCACAATCCACTTCTCAACACTCCGCCGGTAGATCTTCCACATCTGCAAGACGACAAGATACATGGTTCAAAGTTCCTTCAACTATACACAGTGAAGAAGAACCTATTGTCTGGCCTCATCCTCCACCTCCCTCATCTTCGCAGCCCTGCATACCTTTACAGTTGGTCTTTCCCTTCTTCATCCTTCCAAGATTTCCGAAGCCATTTGACGAGATGATACTGAAGAAGTTTTTGCCAAGTAATAGAGGCGCTCCTGGTACCTCTCCTTATTCAAGTTACGTTCGCACCTATATTTCAACTCACTTCTGGCTTGCCCGAACACTTCACGCTGGATACGCTCATCATGGGAAATCTGCTGATTTGCATGTGCAGAGAAGCATGTTCTGCTTTTTCCAAGGAGAATGGTGTGACAAGGAGGCCCCTGATAAGGAAGCTAATGGGAGAGGCTGTGATAAACCATGCATGACGATCAAGAAGAAAGCAGGTGACAGCTCTAGAACAGGCGTATTTTTTAGTCCCCAAGACGGATCTCAATTGAGCTTTCGGCAGCAGACAGCACTGTTCGACAACCCGTCACGAAATACGCGACACATTCCTGCACTAGACGAAATGCTAGTAAATAACAGGCGTAACGCCTTATCCTCGACAACTGATATTGTCGGTACGAGCAATAATGCCAACAAACGCCTTGAAGTCCGAGAGCGACCAGCGCCGATACCCCTGACGGCTTTGAGTCGTATATAGAGAAAATTTGGCGGTAGACTACTAGCGGCATGCAGAGTACGCAATTGCTTCCAAAACTCCTTACAAAGAGAAAACAGATTTACTCTTTCCATAAACGATGAGTCAAGATGGAAAATCCGTCAAATCAAGATTGCTAGAATGTGGCCGTACGTATGAAGTGACTGCCTAGGCACACCAAGCAGGGCTAGAAAGGCATACCAAAGTAGACGCTAAGCCCCCCAGGACTAATCTCTATTCATGAAGTGATTGGCCATTGCACAAGACTCGCTGACGAGCAGCGTACACAAGCAGTCTCATCCAAACTGCGCTAGGGATAGATCCTAAGAATCTTTGGAGGGACGAAGAGAGGCAGAAAGAGAGGAAAGGGACCGAAGTGACGAGAGACAGAAAGGATCGAAAAGGACCCAAAGAAAGAAAAAGCAGGAAACGAACCAACCTTGCCAACCACCATGTTGACCCACTCTACGCTCTCCTTCTGCCCCGTCGGCCCCGGCTCCGGGATCGTGTTGACCTTGTCCGACGCCCGATAGTTGAACATCGCCAGGTTCTGACTTGTCCACCACTGACCAATAAAGATCGCTACCAGCAAAGCAAACCCCGCGCCGATCGACGCAAATGTGAGGTCTCGGTACACGCCCTGTCCCGGGACGCTTGGAATCCACGAGGGAGCCTGTACGCTGGCTATCAACCTTGGCGCCGGGTTTGACCCGCGCGAAGCGGCGGGGGCGGCAGCGGCGGCGGCCCAGCATGGCGCCCCTTTTCGCCTGCCTTTGCGGACTAACCAGTGGGGTTTGCTGTAGCCCGATTTGCTTAACGGAGGGCCACTCAGCTCAGGTTTGCATTCTACGGGGCTGCCACGCAGAGGGTCACTCAAACAAGATTTGCTCGAATAAGGTCTGCTGACGCCAACCCCAAACAAGTAGCTAGCTCTAGGATAGGAGACGCTTCCTTGCGCAAATCCGGGAAGAGTACAAGGAGCTGCTGGCGGATTTAGAAGAGAGGCGCCTCCGCAGGGCTTATTCAGACCAGCAGGTCCGCAAGGACCAATCACTAATAGCGACATTATTTCCCACCACCCCTAGTTGGTGGCTGTGGAAAGCTTACATGCAGGCTCCAAACGAAACAACTTTGTCAGTCTTAGGGCTTGCACGCTGCATCTCTTATCCATATTGAACTTCATGACCGCCATTTAAGGCCCAATACGAAGTGGTGGCCAAACAAGAAAGGCAGGCTGTCAAGCTCACACGGCGCTGGCTGGCTACGCTGCATTCCTGCTAGAGCTATTGCCAATTGCTAACCATCTACAAGAAGCCCTCCTTTAGCTGCCTGGTTCTTTCACCATCCATTTTTGCGGTTTGGAAAAGAAGCAGCATGTGGAGCCATGCTGAGGAAGACGCGTTGTCCAGCGCCCATCTTGAGATAACCATGAATCCTACTCCGGATTTTGCCAACTCCGGATTTTCTACTAGCAATCATCGATGAGGACTCCAATTGCCCGGTCCTTCACCACGGTCTGAGTGGGCCTTACCCGGGCTACATTCCAAGCACACATGAAGCCCGGCAAGTTGAAAGGTGGCCGGAGCAGTGGGCCGGTCGAAATCTGGGCCGGGGCTTGGTCTTTGGAATTGGGTTAATATTGGGTACTACACAAAACACTGAGCCAGATTTGAGTGGTTAGCGGCCGGTGTAATGGGGCGGGGGTGTCTTGAGACTTGGAGGGGGGTCCGGCCCTTGGGAAAGAGTTGCTTCCGGGAGCTCGGGGATCCCGAATTGTCTCCTGAGACCCATTTCTGGGCCAGTGACCTAACCCATAAGAGATTAGGTTACGCCGGCCAAGAAGTGCCCGAGTCGTCCGCCGGCGCCAGCCCCGGTAGAAGCAACTTTTCGCGCGTCCTCATATGGTAAGCTGATGCAAAAATCCGGAGTTGGCAAAATCCGGAGTTGAATTCATGGTTATATCTTGAGACGCGAGGGATCTGCGTTCGAAGTCGTTGCCAGCTGGATGGTGGCACTGGCAGTTGCTGCATCTGTTGCGCCTGTGCACACTGCACATCAGTTTCGTGCGTGAAAATGCTCTATTAATTGAATATCTATTGATATCTTTAATTTACCGAGGACTTGGAGGAAGCTCTTGTCGAAACGAAGGAATCTTGGTAAGTGGAACTTGAAACCCACCAAGAATTTGTAACGTAGGTACCTATCTAGTGCAAAATTGGTCAAGCAAAAGCCTGTTCAAATCGATCAATCCGACGGTTCGATTATCGAACTGCCTGGTGGCTTCAACGTCCTCGAGATTCATAAAAGCTGGAGCAGAACAAATGGGGGGAGCGTTGTGACCCTGAACGAACCCCCACCTTCCTGAACTCGATGAGTCAGCAGTTTCGTTTTGCCACGCGGCGTCGTTTAGGCACATCGCAAACCAGAATGGAATCCATTCAACGGTCGCGATACGCTCAAGTTTGCAACTCTGCAAGGGCGCGCACCCCAGTTTTGCTCTAGCTTGGGGCCCTGCTTGGCGTCGTGGCTGGTTTCAAATTCCTGGATCGATTTGGGAGTCCTGAGCTTTCCAAGCACAAGCAAGCGCAATTGAGGACAGGGGCGCCCGCTCAGATCCAATTTGATTTGGCAAGGGGGCGTGAGGTTTTGGGTTCGAGGATGGAGGCGGTATCGGTTGCCAGCCGGTTGCCTCTGGCGGGGGCAGCCTTGCGAAGTGCCTCCACGCTCCAGCACCCAAGGAGCAGATCTAGCGCTATCGCCCCGGTGCCTATCCATGCACGCATCAAGAAAGAACATGCTCCCCTTGCTGGGGCTATGCATAGATCACAACCTCTGCACAGGAGCTGCAATTCCCCTAGCTTGGGGGCGTTCTCGGCCTCCAGCGCGCCGGTCAGGCGGTTCAGGCGCGATGCTCCGGTTCGCGCATCTGCTGCTGCAGCAGCAGCGGGAGATGAGAACGAGCCAGAGGTGCTTGCTGTTCCATTCACAGCGGCCGCCCCGGCAGCACCTGTTAAGAAGTTTTTGGGGACGGAGGTCACGACCCTCAAGAAAGTCATCCCCCTGGGGCTGATGTTTTTCTGCATCCTTTTCAACTATACAATTCTGAGAGACACAAAGGATGTGCTGGTGGTTACGGCACCAGGTAGCGGAGCCGAGATCATTCCCTTCCTCAAGACCTGGGTCAACCTCCCCGCAGCCATTGGGTTTGCCATCCTGTATGCAGACCTTGCCAACAAGCTGACCAAGGAGACCCTGTTCTACACTTGCATCATCCCCTTCATCGCCTTTTTCGGGGCGTTTGCATTCATCATGTATCCGTTGAGGGATGTACTTCACCCGACTGCCTTCGTTGACGGCATCCTGGCGTCGGTCGGTCCCGTTTGGGCGCCGCGTCTGTCTGCACCCCTCTCAATCCTGAGGAATTGGACGTTCTGCGTCTTCTATGTTGCGGCGGAGTTGTGGGGGAGCGTGGTTGTATCAGTGCTCTTCTGGGGCTTTGCAAACCAGGTAAGGGTGGTGGCATATCAATCCTTCTCGACCACCTTCTTGAATCCTTACCGTTGTCGCAATCTTCAAAGACCAAGCTGGTATCGATCCAAATTTGTATCATGTCCTTTGCTGATCAAACGTCTGTTGCTTAGTTTGTTGTCCATCAATCGGCGATTCGGCAAAGCATTGATAAAACCTGTTGTGACAATTGCCTTTCTTGCTTCGGTCATGTAGAGTTGATTGATCATTTCAACTTAGGCAGTCATTGCCAGTGGTCTTAGGTTGATCATTTGTGATTTTCTCTAAACCATATTTTCTTGTTTGTTGCTGCTTCTATGGTCTAGAGGCAGCCTGTCTTATGTTGTTTCGTCCCTGTGCAAGAATGACTCCCTTTGCAACCAAATAGTTTTGCACATCAACAATTTTCCAGTTGCTCCAACAGTCATTCATTTGTTTTGATTGAGCAATATCACTCTTCTTTTAGGAAAGGATGAAACTATTTACCTTTTGACCTTGAAGACATCCTGCGCCTGTCTTTAGCTTGCCAACCACATGGGAGCAACATCTTGTTTTCTTCTACTACAACAAAAGTATTCAGAAGATGTGTGTCGCCTGATTGAGAAGTGGTAATGCTCTGTGTATGATATTGGATTGGATGTAATTGCCTGTTTGCAAACTTATATTTTAACAAAAGCACAACAGAGCATGTTTTGGCCACCAGGGATTAGTCTGCTGTATCCCTGAGAAGGTGGTGTCTCAGTCCAAATCTGAACGGGACTCTTGTTGCTGCCCGGCCTGTGATGCACTGCGCCTACTCTTTGACATACATGCAAATCGTACCATGAAATACAAATCAATTATGTTTCTACAACTTGGTCAAATGCGTCGTTCGTGCTGCTTATTGACAGTCCTTTGTACTTCTTCAAGATCTGCACCAATCTCTTCACACCACCCCTGTGTCTGTTGCGTGAAGACTTGAGAAGCCATCCTTTGGCACCAAACTGCTTCAGAAGCAAAGTTGTTTAGGTTGCCGCCGCGGCAAAATTGCCTGGCCCGTTTCGTACTTTGTTTCACCAGTTCTGATGCAACTCAAGCAGTCGTCCACCACTTTGCAGATACATATTCCGTCTATGCATCATATAATGAGAATTGTTGACCACCACTTTTTACTCGTGCAGATCATGGTTGTTGATGAGGCCAGCCAGTGGTACCCGCTTTTCGGCCTGGGGGCGAACGTTGCGCTCGTTGTCTCTGGCCGTGTGGTCAAGTACTTCTCCAATGTGCGGGCCACCTTGAAACCTGGTGTCGATGGCTGGGCGCTGTCGCTTAGGTAAGCAGACCAAGAACTAGCATGTTTAGGTTCACTAATCTGCACAATGTGGATGGCTTCGCAAATGTTTACTGGTGGGGATTTGGAAAGCTGGCAATTGTCAGATCTGCTGCATCATTGTTTCTTGCTGACTAGCTGGCTCGTGCCATTCTCTCAGCGATGGGTAGAACTATCTGCTCGATGAATTTGACCAGCTCCCACTGCGATCTTGTTGGGTTGATTGCATTTCTACTTCCATCTTAACAAGTTTAGTCTGAAACGTGGTAGAATTCTGTTTTGGCGCTTACTGGTTAAGAAGACTCTGAAGTGTTTTCTCATTGTTTCACGAGTCGCAAAGTTCTGTCATGTGACAAGCGGTATGGAAATGCATCGCAGTAGCTCCTTTGGCATTTAGGCAGCACCATGTTCAGTGATGATCCGCTGCATGTTTCAAGCCATTGACAATTGCCTGGAAAAGTGCACCAGCCTAAGAGATCAGATTCATTCGCATCTTTCTGTTTTTTCTTTACTGTCGTGTCTTGGATTCCACCATTTTTCCTGTCAAAAATTGGTAATTAGATTTGATAACTTCGTTGATAATTTCGCAGCCTGGGTTGGAGTTGTACTCTTTGGACTAACATTATGTTTCCATAGCTGCTTGGAATTTTGCCTTAAGCTCCAGAATAACTGTCGTTCTTTAGACCCGCATACAGAGATAAGTAGAGCGACAGCTGATGTTCTCCATGGGGCTGTTGCATTTTCGCGATCATTGTCGCAAGTCCTTTTGTGCTCGAGTATGGGTAATTTTTTTTGCTCGAGTACGCGTGAGTTTTTCAAAAAAAGGGGCGCAACCGTTCAGTAGCACTTTTGGATCATTGAGGGATTGTGTGTGCAGATCTTGGAAAAAGGTTACAATTGTTCGGTAGCAATTGTGGACTATCAAAGTATCACAGGGCAGCCGAATGAGAGCATTCAAAGGCTTGATGTGGACTATCAAAGAAGTATAGGGCAGCGAAATAAGAGCAGGTTGAAGAGTTGCTGAGCTGATGAACAGATTGTGACGCTAGCGCTTCCCCTGCCGCAGGTACATGATGGGCCTCGTTGTTATCATGGGCCTGGTCATCACTGGCATCTATGCTTTCACCAACAAGGTGTTGCTGAAGGACCCCAACGTCAAGCTGCCTACTGGAAGCAAGAAGAAGGTACGGCGCAGTTGACCTTCTTGTTCCTCCAGATCTATTGGTTTGCTGGAATTTCTATACTTACCACTCTGCAGACGCTTTTTAGCTTACTGTTGAGCTACAGCGAACAGTAGCGTTCTACTGGAAGAGCCTGGTGGTGTAAGAAGGTTTGGTCCTTGTGCGGAGACCAGATTGGTGTGCTTGCTGGGGAACAAGTCTTCTGGTTTTCAGGCTGCAACTTCTGTCAGGTCTTGTGGACACCGGTGTCTTTGTTAGAGAGGATTGTGGCCTCTCAAGAAGCAGTTGAAAGAGTGATGCGAAGAGAGGCCTGCGTGACGCAGGTGTTGTTTAAAAATTCCCCTATGCCTACTCGGAGTGACTGCATCTTTGCACTTGGACTTTGCTAGTGTATCTGTCTCAAAGAAGATGTTTGTCTGAGAACTGGCGAAGCACAATCTTCGGATGCTCTACTTATCTGGCACTCAGCAAGTCCGAGTGCAATTGAGCTCAAGTCAAAGTGTCGTTTCTGCAAATTGGCACTTCCATTGCAGCCAGCCAGAGAACACCCTATGGAGCACATGCAGTGTCAGGCTCGGGTTCTGCCTGCAGGCTAGACAGTCGGACTACTTCCCAGGCTATGGTTCATGTAGATTCCTATCGTGAGCCAGCCACTGATTTCAGTAAAGTTTACATCTTAGACTTGTCAGCTAGTTCTGAGTCACACAACAGCATTTGGAAAGCTTTTTGAAGTTTCTGTGGCTGAGTTCGCGCCGGCTAGCTCTCGCTCACACGGACTACTTCAGGTTCTTTGTGGCTGAGCTGAATCTGTAGCTGATTGGGAAACCCGCATTCACTGCAGAAGGAGAAGACGAAGCTGGGCTTTGGCGAGAGCGTGAAGTTCCTGCTCGACTCGAGGTACATCCGCGACCTGGCGTGCCTGGTGGTGGCATACGGCATCAGCATTAACTTGGTGGAGGTTACATGGAAGAGCAAGATCAAGGCACAGGTGGGCTTATAACACCCTTCTCGTCGATTTACACACGAGATTTTATGTTGGGGTTTGATCTTTACTTTCATTAGTATGTCGTTCATTTTGCGGAGGTAAACAGAATGGAAGGGTTCGAAAATGGTTTTGAAACCTGGGATTAAGACTGATGAATGAGCTGACAGAAGGGGCGGTATTGGCAAGCAAATTCAATGCGCAGTGTGATGTCACGGTAGCAGCATTCGTTTTGCTTGTGATATGCCGTCGGATGGGTGGCTTGGATTGGTAGAGGGCAAGGCACAAAGTAATTGATGACCGTGAGTTGTGGAGCAGCTTTGGTCTTTCGTGAGGACTGATGTATTTGGATAGGGGAGTGCAGAAGCATGGTCAGTGAGTACGATCAAGGCGGCTTTGGGTGTCACTCTGGTGCACGGGCTTGCTTTCAGTGTAATTTGTCGAAGCAGTGTAGATTGTCGAAGCAGTGTGTCAGAATCAGTTGATAATGCTCAGGGTAGACCGATATTACTGTCAGCACGACCAAGCTTTGAGGGGTCGTGCGGGGTCTAAGACTGGTCATTCCTGGTGTGCATTAACATCCAGCGCAAAGCAGCAGATGACAGGCAGAATGCGCACGCCAGTAACACAGTTGTTTTTCATGTACCAACATATCTATCGGCTCCGTTGCAGCAAGTCTCGCCACATCAAACGACTTTCCCCACTGTCAATTTCTGGGAAAGTGCCTCTTTGAGGATTACATTCCCCTGCCGTCTCGAGCTCCTGATGGCACCGATTAACCACTCTACTTCTCCCCTCACCACAAGCTTTTCATGGCATGTCAGCGATCAAGGATGACTGGGAAAGCCCGGAGTGTGGGTCCCGTTGGAATTTCTTCAAGCAGCATTACGTGACCCACACTTTCCTCCTTTCCTTCGTTTCCGAACCCGACCGACCACATCGCTTCATGGGCGACTTTGAAATCGCAATTCCTGACCCACATTCGGCCCCCCCTCCTCTACTCCTCAATCCCAACGACAAACACTACCTGACTCACATTTCTCCCCTCCTCTAGTTCCCCAACCCCAACGACTACTCCGCCTTCATGGGCGACTTCTCGTCCGCGACCGGCGCCGTCACCTTCGGCATGATGCTCCTCTCGCGCGTCATCTTCCGCAAGTTCGGCTGGGGCGTCGCCGCCCAGATCACGCCCGTCGTGCTTCTCATCACAGGTGTCGCCTTCTTCGGGCTGCTGCTCTTCGGCGGGCCGATCGCGCCGTGGCTCGCGTCGGTCGGGATGACCCCCCTGCTCGCTGCGGTGTACGTCGGCGCGCTACAGAACATCTTCTCCAAGTCCGCCAAGTACTCGCTGTTCGACCCGTGCAAGGAGATGGCCTATATCCCGCTGGACGACGAGACCAAGGTGCGCATGCTGACTGTCGTGCCTTCATACTTTCCATTCTTCTCGATGCTGCCCTGTTCTTGGGAACTTACGTGCGCCTTTCCTTGGATACCAGAGTTGGCGAGGCAGAGGCGGGCTCGTTCAGTCTGGAAAATCCCATTATACACGGTCATTCCGGATGCTCGCGCAGCGAGCAAGGGAGTAAATTAGGAACGGCGTGGACAATTGATGGAACCGATTGACGAAGACTTCGAAATTTGGTCAGCGAGACCGCAGTTGGTCATGCATTTATTGAAGCTGCCTGTACGGGCGAATGGGACACAGACCTTGTCAAAGCGGGTTTCGTTTTGCGGTACTCCTGAAGGTTTTGGCGTCCATTGAGGGAGCATTACTTTCATCTACCGGAAGTGACGCACATTGGACGTCGCTCATCTTGTGCGGCGTTTACCTTCTGCCGAGCGAGGCAAAGTTACACACAAACAAAAGAGAAAGATGGCTTTTGCCAGAAGCTACACACTCAAGCTTTACACCAACGAAAATTACCCTCCTTACACTCAAACCCGTTCCTGATCTGCGCCCCTACCTCCGATTTCCAGGTCAAGGGCAAGGCCGCCATTGACGTCGTGTGCAACCCCATGGGCAAGTCCGGCGGTGCCGCGATCCAGCAGGTGCTGATCATCGTCTTCGGGTCCCTCGCCAACTCCACCCCCTACCTAGGCGTCATTCTGCTGGGCATCGTGTGTCTCTGGATCGTTGCGGCCCGCTCGCTCGACAGCCAGTTCAAGCCCATGGTCCACAAGGGCATCAAGACGCAGATCTCGGAGGGCAAGCTGGAGGCGCTCTCAGCGCGTCTTTTGGGGCAGAGCCGGGGCCGGCAGGTTAGTGCCACGTGTCTTTTGCGATATGGCCTTTCTGTTTTTGCACTCGCACTTGTTCAGTGCCCTCGGAGGAGCTGACTGCGTCTTCTCAATCCTTCTGACTTCTTGTCTCCGGATCATTGGTGTAAATACTTTTTACGTTGGATACGACGGCTTTGATTTGCCAGCTTATGCTGGGGAAGTCGGCTCGTCTGTTCAAGTATCATACGAGAGCCATTTTGACAGCGCACATTCATTGGTTTCTTGGACGCTTCAATCATTTGCTGACCGTTTGCACTAGGTTTCCAAGGATTACGAACATGATGACGATCTTTGTCTTGTCTTACTCGACGACACTGCTTATTGACTTACGACAATCCGGTCAATTCGACGACAACAATGATGGAGTATCCTCAGAATCATATATAGTATCTTTTTATGCGTTTTGCTTGATCTTTTGAAGCCCCAAATCTGACCTCTTGTTTCTCTGGCTTTGCAGCAGAGGAGCCACCGCTTCGTCAGCGTGCTCAACGAGCAAGGGTACATCGAGGGCAGGTACGTTCCCATTGATGACGACAGCAGGGCCACCAGCAAGACCGTTCCGGCCCCCGTCTCCCCTCAGAACGGCAATGGGCCGGTTTCTCCAACGGACGTGGTCGGAGCGACTCCGACTACTCCTGTAGGGTCAACGTAGGCGCTAGAGCAAAGCCCATACGGTGATTGAGGAACGGAGAGTGGTTTTTCTCCGGGGAGGTTGTACGGGATGTTGGAGGTGAGGGAAATTGCGGGGCGCTGAGGAAAGATTTGGGGCGTGGTAGTCTTGGACGAGGTAGTATCGGCTGAGATGGAACGGGTGGATATAGATTTGGGGTGTTGCGGAAGTAGACGAATTAGAGCTGAGGAAGGTCCAAGAGCTTGACGTTTTACAGGGCAGTTGGCCTTGACTGGTTTACAATCAGTGTGATCAAGTTTCTTGTGTCGTTTATTATTGGATTTCAATCCAGCACTTACTAGGACGTGGGCTAGCAAAGATGGCTTGCATTAGAGAGGTGTTACAGGGCATGTTGAAATACGACCACTGGTGCCGCTAATAAACGTTCTGCTGACATCGTTTGCTTATTTAGGATTTGCAAACCGTTGCTCTCATCAGTTTTTCAAACATATCATTGTGAACCGGAACCCAGCTATGTAGCATGCTTCGAAAAGCAGGACATCGCCATACTGGACTCATCCACGTGAAAGAAGCTCTGTAAATGTCGATATACGAATTCAGTCGGCCTATTCAATGCGGAGTCGCACAAAGAGGACAAGTGGTCATGCAACTGATTGCAAGGTCCATATGCTTGATGGAAACAGGATGTACGTGATGTGTATACAAATTTTGAACAGCTCCGACACCATCACTTCGAAGTCAACCAATCCTGGGCGGCTGGTGCCCTGGTAGGGCTAGGTGGCGTTACCATGAACGTGTGTATATATGTAGTCACGCAGCTGTCTCGTTGCATATTTATAACACGCGAAGATAATAAGGATGACCTCGCGCCCTAATCAACCATTTTTTGTTCGCACGCTTGTATGCATGTGGCTCCAACTTAAGAATGAGCACCATTAAGTATGTCCTGCGCAGTGCATCAGAGGCACGCGCGCCCCTTTCTTACATATGAAATTAGGCCAATACGGCTGCACAGTCGCAGGCAAATGATTCCAACTGAACAGCTTTTGTATCCTCGAATTTTCGCAGCTCAAGCTTAATTTTAAACAGTGGGCCTTGCCAGCAATCGATCCTGAGCGATTACGATCAAGCATGAGAAGGTCGGAGCTCCACGTCTGCAGATATTAAATGACTATGGTGTCGACCATTTCGCTTTCCTCTAGACTTGATTGAACGTCACTGTATTGAATCAAGTAATCGAGCAACCATGCACATGTAAGGTGTACCAAAGCCTGGGCCAGTCAAAACTATGCCCGACGATGCTGTCCGCCAAACATAACGATGATGCAATCAAGAAGATTGTACTCCAGAAAATCTGCAGGGCGACTGATGCATGACTCCGCAGCAACTCGATCACCATCCAGATAGAAACTCGGAATGCTTTCCGTTGTTGTATAGTTACTTGGAATTACTCTCCAGGCTCGACGGGATCCTGTGTGAACCTGCCCTGTGCGGAACCATCGCTTGGCGTGCAATAAGTTCTTTAACGATACTTGACATACGATAACTTCAAACGTCGTCGTCACCGATGGGCTTATCAGTCCTCTACTTTTCCAATTCGGAGCAGCAGTGGCCACGTCACCTTTCTTTCCGTTTGTGGATCTCCCCATGCGGCTTTCAATTCGTCCTCCACCGGTGCAAGCAGGTCAATCCCCTTCTCTTTCGCGGTGTTGTAAGGGCTCCAAGTCTTGTAATACCTTCAAATTGCATCCAAAGAAACAACTCGAATCGGTCAGCAAGTCGGGTCGATCAAATTCTTCTACCTTCAAAACTTTGATGAACGGTTTTACTTAGAATTACAGGACGAGGCTTCCATCTTCACTGGAAGTCTACTTGTGGAACAGATATGTGGCGTGCTCATAATGTGCGTCACCAAAAGTAGCCCTATTCCCTTGGACGCCTCTGATTTGCTGACGAGTATGTGATCCTTTCACGCTGGCGACTAAAGACAATCTCATGCTGCCGTCTGCGAGCGTTTACCGTGCTGATGACTACGGACATCTTCATGCTAACGAGTTTAGACAACACAAGATGCTCACGATTACAGACATCTCTATGCAACCGGGTACGAACAATATGCAGAAAATCAAAAGGTATGGAGACAAGCAAAGCGCACAGCGTCTTCCGCAGGTTTGCAAGAAGAGTGCCGTACCCAATGAGGTCCTCGTACTTCCAGTGCTTGCTCGTCTCGAATGGGAATGGACCCGTACTGTCGCGGCCGTCGACCGGAACGAACGGAAACGGAATCGTTGCATAACCCTCCTCTATGTACCTGGAAACCAGCGGACTTCATTCGTCAGCGAAACGGGCGTCAAGAAGCGCCACATCAACAGAAGCGAAGTGCATCACAGAATCCGTAGGGATTGAGAGGGAACCTGCAAGAAAACGGGGGAAAGTGAGCTTTGGGTTGTGAGAAACCCACTCAGGTTTCCGCGAATCACGCAGCGGAATGATGACACCCTCCCCGTCGACTTCTATTCTTCAGCCAAACTGAATGCGCATAACTAAAACTTCTGGGTTTCAGAGTTCTACGGCTTAGGCAAACTTCAAGCTGGCCGAGACAGCCCAACTTGTACAGAAACAGAGCAAGCGGCAAGGCTCGTCTCAGGGCACAGCGCCTTCAGACCGCAGGAAAAGGCTCTCGACATTCTTTGAAGCGTAGTAAAGACACACGCATTTCTTGGTTAGTAGGATACTGGTAACGTTGGGGTATGTCAGATTGGAATTGCAACAGATTGGCCGAAATTTTCAAGCGCACCGCTCGCAATTACTACTGGGTACGTTTTATCAGCGCTTCCCAACATCTTGCTGCATTGAGAGGACTATCAAACCACTTGTACTCAACCTAGCAACACAGATAATCGACATCATGCGGCCTAGGTATACAGCCTACGATCTTGTCGTCAATGTAATGGCGACATGGAGACGTCCCCTGCTACAATGCGACTCGATCCGCAAAGTAACCAAGAATATGAATTGCAATCAATCATTATTATATGCCTAATCTCGCCACTCACTTCACCCGGGGGTTCCAAAACGGCCCGGTGGTCTGATAGTATCTGTCCGAGACGGCATCAATGTCCGGCGTGATCCTGGCGTGTGAATACGACCAGGCTGCGAAGGTGCCCCCGGGTCTCCGCAACGCCTGGTGACGAAGAACGAGATCGCAGAGAATTTTCAGAAAGCGAGAATCAGTAAGAGACGGGTCTAAACGACATGATTGAAGATCAAGAGACTCACTTCCGAGCAGTCTCCCAATAGGGCCCCGTGATTTTGTAGAAGGCGGCCGAGACGGCATCAACCTCCGGGGTGACCTGCTCCGGGGGGGTGTACGTCCAGGCGGCAAACACCCCCCCAGGCCGGAGAGCCTGGCAAGTACGAACGCAGGCTATGGCTCGTCCAACTCCTTTCTGAGGACATTTCACTTTCTGGCCGTGTCCTTCCTGATTCATTTCAGCTCGCTGAACCGGTGCGATTCGAAGGATGCATGCTCGTGAGAGCCTGACAACAAGAGTGCGAAGGTGGCTCTAAACCTCAACGCCAGCTCGTGCAAACTTCTAGAGGGAAGAGCTCGTGTGATATGTCGACTGACCGATTCCTGGATGATCGGCTCCTGCTCTTGAATGGAACACATTATCGATCGACAAAGTGAGAAGCTCACGAATTTCTTCGCGAGGCTGTGGAAAAGCGTCACACGATCATAATCAAGCAAAAGTCCATGCAAGTCCAGTGTAAGAACCGTCTGTTGGAAAACGAAGAGCCCCTCCATGACTTCGAGCTGGGACGACATGTTTCGTTTTCTTTGCTTTTCTCTGGGGTTTTCAATAACTCCTAGTCTCCCCTTTTTCCACTTCGCTCGATCCAAAGCAACTTGTACAAGCCGAAAAGCTCAAAGGTTTTGGTCTCACCTTCTTAGCGAGCGCAAAAAACTCGTCAAAGTCGAACCAGTGCAGTGCTTGGGCCACGGTTATCAGGTCAACCGAACCCGCTGGGCCAACCGTTCGTTCAACGTCCTCCCAAGTCATGTTCGGTTCGGTTACCTGAGAGGCGCACAGGTAGTATTTACTGTCAACCAACCGTTCTTAGTGTCTTGGTCCAAATTTTGAATTCGGAGATTCGACTCAAGCGCTCCTGACACCATTTAGAAATGGATAAAGTACTTTTGCAACCGTGTAGCGCTAACTCCTATGAAAGCACAGCACCCTTGGAAGACTGCCATCAAACTGCCGAGGAAAGTTTTGGCAAGAACGGGGATGCGATGGATCCACTGGTCACGCGACAAGTATCTGATTTAGATGAACCACTGGCAGAAGCTTGACGTCAATCTTCTCATGCTCAGTTCTTGAAAAATATTCCATTTTGTGATCGACGGCGTCCATAACATAGCTCAATCACGTTTCAACCCTCGTTTTGAAAAGACTGAAATTCTACGAAATAGAATGTATTTCATTTTCATACCTATCTTTGAGGACGCCACCCTGCCTGCCTTCAGAGAGTTCAGGGGTTCGTAAAATGGAAATGCAACAGCACGATTCCCCAACCTTGTAAGTGATGTTGTCCCTTTGCTGTGCATGCTCAATCTGGGTTGCGCTGCGGTCGGTTGCAACCACGCGGTCAAAGTATTTTGCAAGGCTCGCTGCAGCCTGACCGTTTCCTGTAAGCACGTAAGTCAAGAGCCAAAGTCGGTCTGTGTGTCGATTGAGAGGAGCCTGCGAGACACAATGTTCGTTGCGGAGTCACATCTTCCAAAGGCAATCTCGTCAGCGCGCTGACATGCCAGAACAACTACCGTAATCCAAGGTGATAATTCCAAACAATGAGGATAAACTGCGGTCAGAGAGTTAGGATTTCCAATACCCCGTTTGGAAAATGATGCTTTGGAGAGTCAAATGTAATCTAAAATGGTTTCCAGAAGGCTCAAAACGGCCAAGATTTGCAGAGAATTCCCTTGTAAGTGACAACGCATGGCATTTGGAGTGTGATTCAGCGCCGGTAATTCCCCTTCCCTATTAGGACCGTGAGAAACTTATTCCAGATAGAGTCGTCCAGGCTTACAACTTTTGAGTACCGTGATTGGCACTTGTAGACTTCCGTTTGCCTTTCCAGACCTCAGCTTTAGCTATCAACCCCACAATCAACATTTGTATATTCCATCAAGGGTTATCCTGGTTCGTCGATTTTGGGGTGGTAGCTGAGGTGGAGTTCCAAAAAGCGGACTAGAGACCCCAATCAGGGGTTCTAACAGACCTTCAGGCACCTATATGGATGTCACAACTTCAGAAAGGATATAACACCAGTGGCTTTGTTCAGATGTTCAAGGCTCAGACTTCAGAACTTTTTCGAATTCTCTTCTGATAGTAATCAGAAGTGCAGATTAGCTGTTCAAGTTTCATGTAAGGAAGATGGGAAGAGGGAGGTTGTGCTTGCAGCAATTCCATTGACTGGGAACTGAAAAAGGGGCAGAAAGATCTGAGGAGGGGACACAGTACACACTGTACAAAGAGAGCTCAAACCTTATCAAAGCGCGGCACCACCTTCAGAGATTATGCAAACCCCTGACACTCAATGTAGCAGCTTAATTCCCACCACCGCTACTCTAAAGAAGGCCTTTTTAGTCTAGGACAAAGATTGTCAAGATACTAAATTGATAGATCAAAGCAAGGAAGATTGAAGATTGAATGATTTAGTCCGTACTAAAACATGCGTGTTTCCAGAGTGTCAAGCACCAAGCACAGAACAAGTCCAGTCAGCTTTATTGCACTGCACCTGATAATTTGTAATAATTTGCATACATACCAATGCCCAGGACACATGGCTTTATTGAGTTAATCAACATATAATCATCTCACCTGTCCCAACATCCCAAGCTAAAGTCCTGCCAGGGGCAGCTGACACAATCCTCTGAATGAATTCATCGGGGTAGTCCGGCCGGTACTTGGCGTACACATCTGCCTGCTTGGAGAAGAGGTCCCGCCCATCTGTGGCAGGCGGCATTGTGCTGGTTTTCTTGCTCGTGCCGCTGACCTGTCTTTTGATGCAACATGCAGCTGTGAGTCTGCCTAGTTGACTGGGGTTTCTAAAGAAGGTTCCAAAACGCATCCGTTTGCAGAGAAATGAGAGAATTGTAGTTTAAAGGGGCAAAATGATCAGAGAGCTAAGCATCGATCTGGTTTAGTGATGGAATGCTGAGAACAGCTCCTGATTGGTACACTAGGCATCTGAAGTGACGTCTAAGTTTATCTTCAACTTCAAGCTTCAAGTTCAAGAATCAAGACCGCTTCTGGAGAAGCCCTGTGCTCGTTTCAGACAAGCGAGGAAACTGCGTCTCTAAGCGTTCGTAGTCTTACGGTACTAAGAACTTAGAAGCTTGTGCGCGGCATATGCGGGCCTACCAAATGAAGTTCACCATAAAAACGACGGCGCGATGGGCGCCCGCGCGATCATCGTGCGATCCGACGGTCCAGAAGCTCGGAAAGCTCCAGTGACGGCCACTGACTGATAACGGTATCGCAGAGGATTCTGCCAGCTGTCCCCCCGCCGCGAAGTCGGGCGATACGATAATTACGAACATCGAATCGAAACGGTACTTAGGGACAAGGCACCGGTCAGAATAATCAAGAAACCCGACCGAGTTGCCACCCACTGCGCAGTGCATAGGCTTACGGACAGGCAACCCACGGAATAAGTACGAACAGGGCCAAAAGGTCGACCGCCGAATTTGTGGAGGCAACCCCTTAGCGGGTAATGAGGTTGGTGAAAAGGGCTTGGTAAACCCCGAATTTTAAGATGGTACTTGCCATTGAGTCCAGCAGTTCGAGTCGTATTGCAAGCGGGCAAAACTATGTAGATTTTGCAAGCTGCCATGACAGGGTGGCATCACTCTGCTACACTTGCAAGCAGCAAATCTGGACTAAGGAGCCTAGCAGCGGTGCACTGAGGCTCAGCTTTCGGAAGCATAGCACATTCAAGGGCTACCTGGTCAGTGCCAGCGTGCCTAAGAGCAAGCAGGTAAAACAGCTTCTGTGCCTCAGCTGTGTTGCCCGGCATTTAGGCTCAGTCGGAGACAGCGCAGATGGCCTTTCACTGCTGCTCACAGACAGAGGCCCAGGCTTGCAAGATGCAGTGCTTTTTCACTACATTGTCCGGCCGGTTGTCAAAAAGCGCACTACGATTTGCCCGGGGCCCGCAAGATACGGGGCTGTTCATCCAGCGGGGCCACGTCAAATGTACGGAATTGAACTGGCCAATGAAACAGGGGTGGTACATATACCACGTGGGTTGGTATAGGACCGCCGGTCCCGTCAGGCTGTGAGTCCCCGGTCACTAATTCAGCGTAACATCGCCTGCAGACACAGCCAATTCAGCTGCCCGGTGACTTTTATGGTACTACTAGCCTAGGTAGCACCTACTACGAGCCTAGGTA